TGTAAACAGATAAGAACATTGGCAGGGTTATTGTAGTAACTTGCAGTTTTATAAGAGTATATATTTAAAGTAGATGAGTAAATTAAGTTAATTTGGATATGCAGAAAATATTAAAAATAAATTTAAGAAACCACAGAAAGAGGGGGGGAGGAAGTCAAGTTTTGAAATGTTAAAATGATTATAAAATTATTGACAAGTATAAAATTGAAAATCATAACAGAGAACCGTGTGTATTAAATTTATTGAAAATTATTAAATTAAAAAAAATCGTAGAACTGAAAAGGACCACGAGAGTCACCTAGTTCAACCTCCTTGTGGTCCCTTCAAACTCTACAATTATCAGTTCTGGTGCCTCATCTCACTTGATGGTGATGGCTGAAAGTTATTATGGGGAATGTGGAAGACTAAACAGGAACAAAACTTCCTTGCAAGTAAAGTACGGTAATTGTTTTGATTGTATTACCTTTACCTTTAACCTGCTAATGCCACTTCTTCTTTAAAAAAGAAGAAAAGACAACACATCAGAAGAAAATTAAATTTTAAAGCTGTGTGTGTGTGGCTAATTTGTTTCATTTGTTGCTCCTCAGCTACTGCGTGTAACACTAACATGCCTTAAACCAGTGTTTGCGAACCTTTGGTCTCCAGCTGTTTTTGGACTTGTTGTTTAGTCATTTAGTCGTGTCTGACTCTTCGTGACCCCATGGACCAGAGCACGCCAGGCACTCCTGTCTTCCACTGCCTCCCGCAGTTTGGTCAAACTCATGCTCGTAGCTTCGATAACACTGTCCAACCATCTCGTCCTCTGTCGTCCCCTTCTCCTTGTGCCCTCCATCTTTCCCAACATCAGGGTCTTTTCCAGGGTGTCTTCTCTTCTCATGAGGTGGCCAAAGTATTGGAGCCTCAGCTTCAGGATCTGTCCTTCTGGTGAGCACTCAGGGCTGATTTCCTTCAGAATGGATAGGTTTGATCTTCTTGCAGTCCATGGGACTCTCAAAAGTCTCCTCCAGCACCATAATTCAAAAGCATCCATTCTTCGGCGATCAGCCTTCTTTATGGTCCAGCTCTCACTTCCATACATTACTACTGGGAAAACCATAGCTTTAACTATATGGACCTTTGTTGGCAAGGTGATGTCTCTGCTTTTTTTTTTTTTTAAGGTGAGTTCTCCTTTTTTTCCAGGCTACAGCTCCCCATCATCCCTGACCACTGGTCTTGCTGGCTATGGGCGATGGGAATTGTAGTCCAAACACAGCTGGAGACCCTAGGTTGAGAAACACTGCCTTCAACCATGCTTGCTATGGATGATGGGAGTTGTAGTCCAAAAATCTGGACATTACTAGGTTGGCTGCCCCTGGTTTGTGCTGTTATACCACGGAAGAGCAACAGTGAAGAACCACAGAACAAACTTGCTTCCTGCCTGCCTGCATGGATTCTCTCACATTTCCCAGGATGATGGCAAAACCTTCAGTTAGGGAGCACCTACTGATCTGCGATAAAAATGTTGGTTGAGGTAAGCTGGCTGAGAATATTACAGTGAAAATTCACTAGCTCTGATTCAAGTTGCAAAAAAATAAAAATAAAAATAAAACAAAAGGGTTAGATAGGAAATGGCTGAGCATACCAGCAATTTTAATGGGCAATTTGAGAATGGCTGTCAAATTAAATTTGTGCCCTGAGCATCACTTGCTGTTGTAAATATGATTGTGCATCAAAACTGATGGCATTATCACTCAACCAGCTCTCACAGTATCACAGATGCTTGGGGTTTTTTTGCAAACAAGGTTGTAAGCCAAGTGGAAGGCACACAGACACAAAATCCTCCTTTGGCTGTGTTCTTGATATGTGGAAAATAAGAAGGAAAGGAAACATTTGCCTGCTTATAGGAACTCTTGGTTAAAGCCATGGTTTTCCCAGTAGTGGTGTATGGAAGTGAGAGCTGGACCATAAAGAAGGCTGATCGCCGGAGAATTGATGCTTTTGAATTATGGTGCTGGAGGAGACTCTTGAGAGTCCCATGGACTGCAAGAAGATCAAACATATCCATTCTGAAGGAAATCAGCCCTGAGTGCTCACTGGAAGGACAGATCCTGAAGCTGAGGCTTCACTACTTTGGCCAACTCATGAGAAGAGAAGACTCCCTGGAAAAGACCCTGATGTTGGGAAAGATTGAGGGCACAAAAAGAAGGGGACGACAGAGGACGAGATGGTTGGACAGTGTCCTCGAAGCTACAAACATGAGTCTGACCAAACTGCGGGAGGCAGTGGAAGACAGGAGTGCCTGGTGTGCTCTGGTCCATGGGGTCACGAAGAGTTGGACACGACTAAACGACTAAACAACAACAAGGAACTCTTGACGTCTCTATTGCTGTCAGATCTGCAGATGGAGGAAGGAGTTGGCAGAAATTCCTCCTCTTAGCCGAATGGAGGACCAACTTAGGATCCAAGCCTCTGCATGTGGCTCTCCTCTCCTGCGGAATGGAGATGGTATTTGGATGACCAGCTGAGGCAACAGGGGTCATCACAACTTCCAAAACTGTAGGGTGCATGCTGTAAGCTGCTGAAAGTGAAGAATGCTTAATGAAAATTTCTGGCTGCAGCTGATCAAGACTGTTTTGGTCTGTGAAGACGACAGTTAAATTTGATCTGGACATCTATTTTTATTTCTGCAAAGCACAATGATATGTTATTGACAGAAGTGCCAGAAACCAGAATCGTATTCAATCATTTGAAATTACGTTGTTTACAAGTTACATCCAAGGAAAGGGGAAGTTATGAGCATGGAGACTGCTTGCTTCAGAAGGTGGTCTTTAATGGGGTATAATTAAATATATTCATTCATATTATTTGTATGCAATCATCTTCAAAGTGGCTTACAACTAAGAAAGCATTTCAAACAAACTCTACAAAACAATTTCACAATAGCATAGCAAAATAATACCATAGTAACAATTTCGTAGAGGGACGCAGGTGGCACTGTGGGTTAAACCACAGAGCCTAGGACTTGCCAATCAGAAGGTTGGCAGTTTGAATCCCTGTGACGGGCTGAGCTCCTGTTGCTCGGTCCCTGCTCCTGCCAACCTAGCAGTTCGAAAGCACATCAAAGTGCAAGTAGATAAATAGGTACTGCTCCGGCGGGAAGGTAAACGGCATTTCCGTGTGCTGCTCTGGTTTACCAGAAGCAGCTTAGTTATGCTGGCCACATGACCCAGAAGCTGTGCGCCGGCTCCCTTGGCCAATAAAGCAAGATGAGCACCGCAACCCCAGAGTCGGTCACGACTCGACCTAATGGTCAGGGGTGCCTTTGCCTTTTAACAATTTCGTAATGGCATAGCAAAACAAAAATACAATGTAGAAAGACCCACATTTCCATACTGTACGTATGACAAGAATACTTGAACAGCATGCAGCGCCCAATAGCAAAAATAAAAAGGGTGATTTGCATTTTCACCTTAGTCCTAGAAACACCTGCACCAAGATGTGGCTCACTGTTCCCTCTCCGGCAGCAGCTTCTTGTAAAGCTTCCAAGGGCATAGGGTGGAGTATCTGGAAATATAATAATAATAATAATAATAATAATAATAATAATAATAACAACAATAATAATAATGTAGCCACTATATATATTTTTTAGTTCTAATCAACTGACTCAGAGAAAACTCCTCCCCCCCCTCCGCACACTTCTTACTAGCTTTCTTACTAAATAATTTGCTCTGGACATCTTGTAAATACACACCCCCAAAAGAAAATTGGCATGATATGTCACTTCCAGTATGATTATGTCACCAGAACTTCAAACTATTTTCCAGACAGGCAGCTACATTAGGCTTCTGCAGCAAAAATAACCAAGGGTCTTGTGGCACCTTACACATTTATTATGGCATAAGCTTTCGCGGGCTACGGTCCACTTCATCATCAACATAAAAAATGTAACATTAAATAATGGATTGTGACTTGCAGCTGAACATTCACAGAAGAAATATAAATCTTTTATTGTGCGCGAATCCGACTGACTCATGATGGTTTGTCGAAGTCAATTGTTGTTTGTAAATGTCCTCTTCTGCCCATTTTCTTTTTTCAGCTTTGTAACATCATACTGTAATGCACAATTTTTGTAGCACTTAGCTTTCCTTTGAATATTCCTCCCCCTCCCATTCCGCTGTGGCCTTTGTAAAAGTTCTGCAAATCAATGCTGGTTGGTAGTGCATCAATATTTTTGAATTCTCTGAGATGGTTGGGCAAGATCACATACCCTGTTTGATGTAATATCTCATTAGTGTTTTACAGGGCTGCCAAAACCACTGACATTTGGATTTTGACACAGGATGTGCAAAGACCAAGATGTAGGTATAGACTGTGTGTTGCTATTTAGCCCCAGACTGGATTTGTGAGTGAGTTTAAAGTGTTTGGGTATCATCAGCATTAGTCCCTTCCATTGGGGGTGGGGGGGTACAGTATTAGATCGAACAGCTGAAAGAGAAACAATAGAAACAAAATTCCAATAATACAAAAAAAAAAAATTAAATACGTATTTAAAAGCTCAGCATTATTCAAACGCATTTTAATGCTCTGAAGTCCATTTCTTAACCTCCAGAACTACAGAGACAACAATATACACCCCTGTTTTTATGCTGAGGAAAAGTTGAACTATAAAGCACATAAAAAGAAGAAGAAGCTGTCTTATTGGAATCTGTGCACTTCCAAAGATGGCTCCACATTTGAAACTGACCATCAAAATAACATGGACAATTTTGCAAAAGCTGGCATTCACAGCTTGTTTTCTTTTTAACAACCCAACAAATTGATTTGCTGGGGACTTTGTACTGTTACGTGCACAGGGCTCAAGGCCATGTGCTCCCTTCTCCCCCCCCCCCCTTCTCTGGCACAGGGATGGAGAAAGCAGGAGCATTTGCTTCTCCTCCTGTGCCCAAACAGGGAACTCTTGTTAGTGATATTATTTAGTTTTGTGGCAACCACGGGTGGTAGCATGGGGCTGTGGTGCTTACCCAAACTCCCAACAGTGGAGTCCCTGCTGTTTACCGGGAAGGAGAGGGAGAGGGGCAAGGCAGCAGGGGTGTTGGTGCTGTAGCTGCCAGTGAGTCAGCACCGCACCAGCCTCTGCACTGCCTTGCCCCTCTCACTCTCTTTCCCTGTAGGCAGCAGAAACTCCATTGACCGGAGGTCAGGTTAGTGTAGCCACTGAACGCCACTGTCCACTACCGTGTTGTGCTTTACTGAAAGGAGCCAGCATCATTAACCTGTTGCAATGTACGGAAGCTCCACATGAAGCACTCCGGAGTCAAGCTGCATTTTCAGTAGGGCTTTATTCCAGCTGCAGTCTTGTGTTATCATAAAGCAGTCTTCTTACAGTATATCCAGGAATCAGCATACACAGGTGGGATTACATACAGGGTAGAAGCCAGCATGGGGAAGTCAACCATACCTCTTTATAAAGGTAAAGGGACCCCTGATCATTAGGTCCAGTCGTGACCGACTCTGGGGTTGCAGCACTCATCTTGCTTTATTGGCCAAGGGAACCGGCGTACAGCTTCCGGGCCATGTGGCCAACATGACTAAGCCACTTCTGGCAAACCAGAGCAGCGCACGGAAATGCCATTTACCTTCCCACCGGAGCGGTACCTATTTATCTACTTGCACTTTGACGTGCTTTCTAACTGCTAGGTTGGCAGGAGCTGGGACTGAGCAACGGGAGCTCACCCCGTCACAGGGATTCAAACCGCCGACCTTCTGATCGGCAAGTCCTAGGCTCTGTGGTTTAACCCACAGCACCACCCGCATCCCTATACCTCTTTATACTGGTTGGCTATAAACCAATTAGGCAACACCTCATGTCTCATGATGCTGACTCATCACATGATACTGAGTCAGTATTTCCATGTCGCACAGAGTGTTAACTCCTTGATGCCCACAACGCTTCTACATAACCATGGTTTGAAGATGGTTTGTCTCAGTGAACCATAGTGAACATTATGGCTCCTTGCAGAGACACCAACTTGAGCAGAAGATTGGGTGTGTGTGTGTGTGCCAATGATGCACACATAATGTGTGTGTGATGCTGGGAGGAGCTGGGGTGGAGCCAAACACAGCAGGGACATGGCTTCAATGGCTGGCAGCTCCTCTTCCTCCTGTCGCTGCCACCAGCCCAAGACGGCTTCCCTCTCCTTCTCCATGGCAGCAGGTGGAGAAGCCACTAGCCACTGAAGCTGCGCTGTACTGTGATCAGATCTGTGATTGGCCTTCTCTGTCATGGGTTTTCTTCAACATTGGCGGTGGTGGTGCCCCTCCAATGTTATATTGGAGGAGCCAAAGGAGATCTGGGCCCCTTCAAGTTGGCACCTATGACTCCTCGGCAGAAGAGTAGGGTCCCTCTAAATAAAATAATTTTATCTATTTGACTTGTAGCAATGCAATTTCAGCTTCACATTTTCCTCTGTATTTTTAAGATTGACTGGTTTGTTTTATAATTTGGATATACAGTTGCACCAGCTGAATTTCTGTCTTCTGTGCTAAAGGCACAGAATCTCTGTCACATGGGGGGGGGGGGAGTCGCCTGCCTTAAATCCATTAGGTGCTGCTATTCCTACGCACAATGCAGTGGGTGGCTTTTAAATGTAATCATGACTTCTTCCCTCGCTAGAGTACCCTGAAGAGGAGGAAAGAAAACTCTGATTATTACTACAGCAGAGCTTTTCCCCTCTACAATTCCTCACCTTAAGTGAATCACACTAAGCAGCCACTTTGTGAAACTGAGAAGCATCCAAATGCATTTTAAAGTTATAATGACTATTTAGTGACTCCACTAATTTATTCTAGCCATCTGGGGCAAAATCGACGAATGCATCTCTTCTAAAAATGCTTTCTAATGTTTTGATGTACTGGTACAGACCATAAATGTACTTCTTAAAAAGAAGAAGTAGAGGGAGCCCATATATTTCCAGGCTAAATTCATCATGAGAAAATAATTATCATTAATATGTTTTTGTTTTAAAAAATCACTCACAATGTATTTTCCAGTTTAAGACTTCAATTCCTATGTAGCTTAACTCCTTTCTTGGGTGTAAGTCCTATTCACCACATTAGAACTTACTTCTGAGTAAACATGCTTAAAACCAGGCTCTACGTACAGCAAATAAATAATGGGAGCATATTTTTTCAGGAAAATTAACAAAACCGAAAAGCATTTTCAACATTTTTTTTAAAAATTAAGTTTTATATCCAGTGGCTGGATAGAGAAGTAAGATTGGGTAGGTTACACTAAGGATCAATCTAGACAGCTTCTGGGAGTGTAGAGCAGCATATCAGTGACACATTAAAAGCACATTTGAATCAGATTTATTATGGACCATCCATACACCATCCTGCTTCATCAGTTGTTCTGCAGTGCTTACCCAGTGTTTCCATATTATTGCATTCACACTTTAAATCTACCCATTTTATTGACTATGTTCCCAACATCTCCAATTCCCCACTTCCTTGTCCTGGGTGCAAGTAAATCATGTTATGACACCAAGCTGTCATGCTTTCATTTATTTACCTTTAAAGTTTTATATACTTAGGCTGTGACTGCTGTGCTAAGTCATGCTCATCTGCAGAAAACGCCAATATCTGGCATTATTGGAAAAAAAAGGTGGCAGTGGCTACATCACAAAGAACTGGACAAATACCATTAACTTTCCAAGATGCTCTCCTGCTAAAGCACATTAAAAGCTGGAATAAGCAAAGAACCAGAGGATTCGTAGAAGAAAAGGACAGAGGACATACACTGATTGCAGCCAATGCAGTATAACCACCCCAATTTTTGTGTGGGCACAAATGGTATTGCAAGTCTAACCACCCTGATAGCATCACAAGCAGAAATCATGATGAATGCATGCCTAGAGGGAGCCTGAGTATATTTCAGCAAGGAACCGTTTTTCACTTGTTGCAAATTGGAAAAACTATCTTGGATAACAGATGTTTTACCACCATGCTAAAACATCAAAGCACCACAGTTGTTCCATATTACTGGGATCTGCTGTGCTAGATGGGAGCTATAGGATTAGGTAAAGGTAAAGGACCCTGGATATTTAAGTCCAGTCAAACTTGACTATGGGGTGCGGTGCTCATCTTGCTTCAGAAAGCTTTCCGGGCCATGTGGCCAGCATGACCAATCTGCTTCTGGTGCAATGAGACACCATGATGAGTTCCAGAGTGCACGGAAAAACTATTTACCTTCCCGCTGCAGTGGTAGCTACCGTATTTTTTGCTCTATAAGACACACTTTTTCCCTCCTAAAAAGTAGGGGGAAATGTGTGTGCGTCTTATGGAGAGAATGCAGGCTGCGCAGCTATCCCAGAAGCCAGAACAGCAAGAGGGATCACTGCTTTCACTGTGCAGCGATCCCTCTTGCTGTTCTGGCTTCTGGGATTCAAAATATTTTTTTCTTGTTTTCCTCCTCCAAAAACTAGGTGCGTCTTATGGTCTGGTGCATCTTATACAGCAAAAAATATGGTATTGATCTTCTTGCACTGATGTGCTTTTGGACTGCTAGGTTGGCAGAAGCTGGTTGGCAGGAGCTCACCCAGGTGCGTGGATTCAAACCACCAACCTTCCGATCGGCAAGCCCAAGAGGCTCAGTGATTACGGGTAGTTGAGAGGAACACTGGTGGGTCAATAATGGATGAACTGTTCTCATGTTTAGTAAACAGATTTCATGTTTTCTTGGGTGGAGGGGAGATACAGTCCTAAAAGAAGCAGTGTGCGCTTAATAACCAAGTTTAGTTAAATACCAGTAACAAGCCTAAAATGTGTATATTGTATAATTAAGCTTAAGAATGTGTAAGCTAAGTGATAACACCGTTTTCTCCTCTTTACCCCCCAGCCTTCATTTCCCAAACTCTGTTGTCTCCCTTGTGTCTATTTTTAGATTATACAGGGCAGGGACTTCCCCTGTCATTTTTTGGGAAACACCATGTAAAGGAATGGCACTATGTAGACAATACTAAATACTAGCATGGTTGGGCGCAAAAGAGGTGAGAGCTCCTGCGCCTTTCAACAGTGTTGGAGGAGAGCTGTGCCTGCTGAAATTGCCTCTTCTCCACCATGGTTGAAAAGTGCAGATGCCCTCTCCTCTAATATCCAGTAGTGATTGGTGCCCATTGCAACTGGTAGGGCAGAAGGTAGGGAGTCCAAGCAGTGGGTGGAGTCAGAGCCAACTAATGCTGGTTTTGTCCCTATCCTCCTGCTCCTCTGCTTACCCCTACAATGGGCAACACAGAGACTAAATAGAAAAGGGAAGGTGACAGCCAGTGCCATTCACCTGGACTGGTTGGAAGTCAGAAGGCAGGCTGGCAGTGTTGGCTGAAGGAGCAGTGCCCCATTTGCCCTAATGGACTGGCCTCTGCTGCAAATACCAACAATGTTCCTAAAGACACTCTGTTTCTACCAGTCTGCAGATTAGACTTTCACACATGTAAGTCCACCTGGGAGCTTGCAGGACAGCAAGAGGCCTTGTGGAGCGCATGAATCAAGTCGTTTGCTTAAGGAATCTGAAGGCTGGCTTCTAAATCAGAGTCTGGCATTAAATTATCTTCTCGGGGATAACTCTTAAATGCTATTCCTCAGCCTGGGCCTCAGGCAGGCTTGGGGACCAGCCCAATATCTTTGTAGCCATGTGCAGAATTATGGCCCTAGGAGTCGCCGATAATGTTAACTCGTCCTACGAAGCTTTGTGAGCAGGTTTGCCTTTTGATTCAAAACTGAAGTCAAAGTTTAGAGAGATGAGCCGCTATCCCTAGAGTTCTTATAACAAGCCTGCGACCCCCTTTTCTGACTAAGCATTGGCTTGATGTGCACACTGGTCCCTGGAGTATTATACATCTGCTCACAATGACCTTCTGCCAGAAGCTGGAATGGTTTCTCGATTTTAGGTGATGCAATTTATAAGCGATATTAATCTTTTACTTGTGTCAAACCTTATGGAATGAAATTGCAATGAATGGAATGAAATTCAATAGTACAAAGAGTAAGGTCATGCATCTGGGACTAATAAATGCTTTTGTTATCTGCTGGAAGAGTGGAAAAGATACCAGTGTTCTTGGACAGTTGGAAGACAGCAAGCCATCAACATGATCCTTCAGCAGTGAGAGCAAATGCTATTCAATATATGAAAAGGGGCATTTTTTATTT